TTAATTACACGGAGGTCCTTATCTTCCTCTGCCAGTGTTGATTACTTGATTAATTAAATCACATCTCACTACATTGATCAAGCATTCCGGCTAAAATTTATTGTACAGTTCTTTATTGTGAAAGGAACGTTGCTGGGGCCACATTGCTGAGAAGTTAGGAAGGAAACTTCCACTAAACTTTAAAATATTAATATTTTTCATGTTTTAAGACATGCGTAATATAGACAGTTTTGTTTTCATTAGAAGGGGGTATAATATGAATATACGATTCATATACAATCAATGCGAAGGCCGCATCTAAAGCATACAAGTCGCTCTTAACGCATGAATGGCTTCTTATTTTTATTTGTCTTCATTAGACTATATATCATTTTGAGGAAGTTATGGTGTATATTCGAATACGATCATATATTTTGATACATCATCAATAAATCTCTATCATCTGGCATGTATTTTGAGATATGATATGGATCTTGATATAATTTTTAAGTAAGAAACATTTAAATTTTGATTAAAAGTCATTTAGAATCATGATTTCGGCAAAATTATAGTCAAAGTGATCGGATCGACAAGAACGGACCCAATGGTACCAATATCAATCCAAACCAAGTTATTCAATTGTTGTTGGAAGCGTTCTGAGCATACTCAGAAGATTAAATGGATTTTGAATATTGCATGTTTATGGTTAAATCAAGTGTCTCGGCAAGAAGATCCAACGAGTCCAATATCACTCAATTCTGAAATCATTAAGACACTAAAATGTCCATCGAATGTCGTTCGATCAATCACAAAAAACATGTAAGAATGTTCATATATGACTTCAATATGTGTTTTATATTTTTAATGGCTGGATGGGAAATGAGTGCTCATGATAATCACATATTCAAATTTGCTACTTGGCAACGTAAATACAAATTTTTAATGTCTCAACCACATTAGTACATTCATGACCGTAAATTAAGAGCTGAAGTTGAGGATATGTCGTAATGAAGTTATTATTCAGAGAAATATTACATTGTCGATTCATAATGTTCATTACAAGAAGGTTTATTAAAGGCCTTCCCCAATATGAGTACCATCTTCTTGATTTTGAGCACATCAGCTAAGTGATTAGAAGGGGGAATGAATTGTTCAATAAAAGATGCTCTTCACTATGAACTATTATTGATAGAGTTTTTGACGTATGAAAGAAGTCAGTCATTCTCTAAGATATACCGACATATTCCTTCAAAAAAATAAGTAACGATAGTTGTTGCAACAAAAAATGCTACATAATTTATAAGATGGCATCCATTCGCTAGACGATGTTGATTTCAAGGTCTTAAATGAAGATCCAACACATGTACTTGTGGAAGCATTCGAATATCGGGCATGATAATCATCTCCCGATGAAGATTTAAGTGTGAAAGACTTCAATTCATCCGACGAGGAGGATATTCAGGAGATGATCAAGTCAAGAGCAGAGATTACAAATGTTTTAGTGAAATCATCGAGTATATTTAATTAATATTTTGTAATGACTTTTGGTTTATTTTTATTTTTATTTTTTATTGACTTTTAGTTGACGTTTGATATTCCTGAATAAGGATTGGTTGATGTCTATTTTCTCGTCATCTTTTATTGTTAATTTTCAATGTTATAACTTTAGATATGCATATTTTTCCTTTTTATATATATATATATATATATATATATTGGGATACATATATATGTATATATTCTGATTATGAAATCAAATATATATTTTTTTATCATTTTATTACATATACAGTCTAATTTATCAATTAGAAGCACAATAAATTATAATCTCATGAAAAATGAGCTTATCAAATACTTCAAGAACTTTGTACCACTATTGTGGTACGCAGTATTTTGAATACACATATAGAAGATAAGATAGTTATGAGATGAGAATTTTTTGTTGTCACAGAAACATGACACGTGAAGATTGTGGGTATTTTTGATAGGCCGATAATATATAGATGAGTTTGCTCTGAATAGTAACCAAGTTAGGAGAGAAGCTATGGATAAAAAAAATTATCCCGAATGCTTGATCGTCTGGACATGAAGATGAATATCATTATAGAATTACTAATCATTTTTTGTAGTTCTTATCATTGTGATATTATACATGAAATGATAGCTTACAATTAATGTATTAGAGAATTTTGGACTTCTGGTATCTTTTTTTGTACCGCTAAAACTATTTTTGTTATTCTATTACAATTATTTTGAAAACTGCACACATTCAGCTAATTAACATATATAAGAGCAAGACTGTCTTATTCATCAAAAACAGTTACAGAACGACAAATTATCCAAACATATTCTAATTATTCCAACAACTTTCTGACAACACTTATGAAACTGCTTCTCCAAAATACAGCTTCACAATTGCTTCTGCAAAAAGTTACAGTCACGAGTCATCCCAAACACACCCTTAATTTTGTGGATAATAAAAAAAAAGTTATAGAAGAGCTATCAAATAAATGTATGTTAAAAACTCATTTAATATCATACCACTTGAAAACTTCATATGAAAATTAACATAAAATCTTGTCATTCAAAAATCTAAGAAAATTAAACTTTTTTGATAAAGTATAAGCCACTATCTATTTATTTCCTCAAGACTCCCACATAAATTTATAGCCAAGCCTACATTGGAGGCTGAAACCTAACCAAAAAAAACAAAAACCTCCTAAACACGCACACCTGTTATATTTCGCACCACTTCTTCTTCAACTTGTCAAACGAAAAATTAGTGTGTGTCGTGTCAGATCTAGGAGAAATATTTGCGTACGTCTTACGTACACAGAGTTGTGTACGTCTGTAGGTTACATGATGGGTATTGGAGGGTTATATCAACGTCACATCCTCTGTAACATAACTGCAACATATATGTAACTAGTAAATTTCACGTTTCTATTTTCATATATTTGTAGGATGGTTACATGAGGTATAACGTGGATATAACCTTTCAATATCCTCCCTAACCTACCGTAAAAAAATTTAGAGTGGCCCCATTTTAAAAAAAACAATCGGACAATACAGCTAAATTTATGTGCGATGTCAGCACGGAATAATTCAGTGTAATTGTTGAACGATCAGATTAGCTTTTGATTAATTTTCTAAAATAGCTTAAATGGCTTTTTAGATAGAAACTGCGCGTGATTAAGCTTTTTCTCTCTGATTTCTTTGAATCATGCATTATAATTAAAAATTATTATTTGTCATCCGTGGAGTTCATGGTTATTCCCACATCAGCGACATGACCGCCCAAAGTTTATCATCCTGTTGTTTGTTAAGACACTGGGCCCCGTTTCTGCTAGTAGAGATACCTTTTTTTGTTGAAGTTCAATGAGCAGGGATGAACCAGGCACAGGTTCGGGTCCAGATTCATCGTTTCGTTGAGCTACGATGAGCAAAAGAAATACGGTACACTGTGGCCACCTAAAAAATAATCAGTTCGGATGTCAAATCATCGAATGTAGTGTCGCTTATCGATGAGATGTATGACGACGTGACGGTTGTTGGTAGTTTGGACGTGCGATATCCTTATAGAATATTTTCTCGTGGCCACAAACCATTAGTTTAGGGAGAGAAACCGGGTAAGCATAATTATCTTTTTTTTTTTTTTTTTGTTTTTTGTTTTTTTTTAGTGAAGCTGTATGTGATTAATTAATTCTCATATATTCTTGTATTATGTTTGTTACTGACTAAAAAATTCAATATTATTGTGAAGATTTGTATAATCTTAGCAAATAAATGCAATATGTATATCATGTTTTTGTGGGTCATCTACTCTAATAGATAATTTTGTGTTTATTCTTTTCATATATTCCAATGACTATTCTTCGTTGAGGCTTGGTGGTATCGAGGCATAATAAAATGCAATGAGATACCTTTCCCCAATCTGTAGCTCCTCTTTCTCATCGTGGCTGCTGACTAATTTGAACCCGTCATTTGTCTCTTGGTCACATTAAGATCGCAATACAACAAGATAAACTGATAGCTGCTCAATTTTAATTGAAGTGAATATTGACAAGCTTAATTTTACTAGATCTCGATTTTAATTAATTTAATTTAGATAAAAAGTAGGCAATAGAAGAATTTGAGCCCACATAATTACATGCTTCCCCCCACTTTAATAAAGGTGTTACCGAGTGTTTTTGGGTATTTATATAAATGAACATACGACTCATCTATCATATCCCTTGATCGGCTGAGATTGGCGCGACTTGGTTCGGCAAGGCTCCTTCGACCGACTTGGCTGGCTTCGGGGCTGCTGATTGACTCCTGTTGATCTTGAGTCATCCGAACTTTGCTCGGTCGGCTGCTTTTGTTTGACTGTGGAGTATCGACCCCTAGATGAGGAGCTCTTCTAGCTGGAATGAGGCTAGGTTCTCAGGCAGAGAGTGAATCAGAGTAATCCAATAGGTAGCACACTCATTAACAAAAGATCTCTTTGGGTTGTTCACGAAGTGTCGTGGTAAAGCCTTCGAGCTCTTGAAGAGTCTGAGAGACTCTTATGAGGCGGCTGGTGATGTTGGAAAGAGTTAACCCATTGCCTTCTCTTGACTTTATAGATCTTGGTTTTTGGCTCCGACAACCTTAATTTGACCGGCTTCAAGTCCCGACCCAAAGGATCTATATTTGGTCATTCAGGTCTTTCATCTTCAAGTGATAGTGCTTTTGGTCTTTCTTCTATTGGTCATCTCTGGCCGTACTTTCCTATCTCTTAGTTTATTAGACCTCCTCTAAATTCGTGTTGATACATTTATGATGCTCACTATAAGTATATATATTTTTTAATAGAGAAATATACCGGCCAACTACCCAATTCCTATGTATTAATATATCAATCACCTAAATATTAATTTTTATGTATGGATCACCCAACTTATGTCAAAAAAAGATAGGAATCGAATGAGTGGTATGTAGTTATGTTAATAAATAGGAATTGGGTGAGCCCAATCTTGACTAATCCAAGCTGAATCGAGCTGAGCCGACTCGGTCATCCTGAAATTCCCTTTCTCCAGTTTCAGTCAATTCCATTTCCTCCAAACCTCCCTGACCAAATTCAATCAACTGACGCCCTGCAAGAACTCTTGCGAGGACTCCAATGGGTCTCAGCCTCCAACATCAGCTTCTTAAAAGCCCATGTCATCTCCCTCTCCCGCGCCAAACCCTAAGCATCTCTATCCGTCTTCTTCTTCCTCCCTCCTCATCGACCGCTGCCTCTCCTTCAGCTCCCTCCAATCAACCCACGCTGTTCACGCCCGCCTCCTCAAGCTCGGCCTCCATCGCAACACTTTCCTCTGCAACCGCCTCCTCCATCTCTACTCCCGTCTTGCCTCTCTCCCCTCCGTTCTCCGAGCCTTCAGTGACATTTCTGCCAAAAACATCTACACCTGGAACATCTTACTTTCCGCAGTATCAAAGGCCGGTCGCCCGCCAGACGCCCGCAAGGTGTTCGATGAAATGCCTGCAAGAGATACTGTTAGCTGGAACTCGATGATGTCCTGCTATGCTGGCAACGGATTATTTGATGTTGCTTTTGCTGTTTTCTACGCAATGCGAGAGCTTGGGTTGAGAGGTAACGCATACACCATATCCATTTCTGCATCCTGCGTTTTCTCCCAACCGCAAGCTAAGCAGATTCATGGAAATGCTATTCGTTGTGGATTTGATTCTTCCAGTGTTGTGGTTGGAAATTCTCTTATCAACATGTATGGAAAAATCGGCCTTGTTGACTGTGCGTATTGTGTGTTCCGGAGATTGGAGAGTCCCGATGCCATTTCATGGAACTCCATGATATCAGCTTTCGGCGACTCTGGGCATGGAAGCTCTTCTTTTGAATGTTTTAGAAGCATGTTGGCTTCTGGATTGTCCCCGGACGAGTTTAGCATTTCAGCCATTATTAGCGTCTGTGCAGACCTTAAGGACTTGGTCAAGGGTGAGCAGGTGTTTGGTAGATGCATCAAGTTTGGATTGCTTTCAAATTCTATAGTTTCTAGTGCTGTTATTGACATGTATTCCCAATGTGACAGATTGGATGATTCCATTCGGCTATTCAGAGAAATGGAGAGATGGGACTCTGCAACTCTTAACTCCGTGGTATCAGTCTATGCAAAATCCGGGCTTGTCCATGAAGCTCTGAATCTCTTTGTTATGGCAGTTGGTAGAAATGTTAGACCGACAGAGTTCACTTTTGCAAGCATTTTGGGCTCAAATTCCTGCTTTGGTTTACCTGAGCAAGGCAGGCAGATCCATTGTTTTGTTCATAAGTTGGGAATGGAGGCAGATGTTATCATTTCAACTGCTTTAGTTGACATGTACATGAAATTGGGCTCAGAAGAATCTGCTACCAATATTTTCTCTTCGATGATTTTCAAGGACTTGATATCTTGGAACACAATGATTATTGGGTTGGCACAGAATGGACAAGGAGAAGAAGGTTTGAGAAAGTTTCAAGAACTGCTTGAAAGTGGTATCAAGCCAGATCGAATCACTCTACTTGGTGTCTTATTGGCTTGCAGTCACAGGGGAATGGTCTCTGAAGGAAAGAAGATACTATACTCAATGGAAGAAAAACATGGAATCAAATGTGGCATTGAGCACTATTCTTGTGCTGTGGAGATGATGGGGAGATCAGGGAGGTTGGAAGAGGCAATCAAAATTATTGAAACAATGCCATTCAAGCCTAATGCATCCATGTTAGGTCTGCTTCTTGAAGCTTCAAGTATTCATGGGAGCTTGAGTTTCACTGAAAAAATTGCTGAGAAGATGATGGAGTTAGAACCTCAGTGCTCTTTACCATACAATACGTTGGGTCGTATGTATGGGAGAAGAGGCATGTGGGAAAGCATGGCTTGGATTTGGAGGATTATGGAGGAAAGAGGAGTGAAAAGAGTAAGTGAATGCAGTTGGATTGGCATCAAGAATCAAATTTTTACTTTCAGTGATGATGAAGTGTTGCATCATGGAGGAGAAGTCATGTATTCAATATTGGGTTTGTTGATTTGGGAGTTGGCGAAAGAAGGCTATGGGCCAAGAGGATATGGAGAAGGATTTGAGGAAGATGAAGATGAAGAAGATGATCATGTATGAGTGGATCGGTTTTCTTGCCTGTCATGCATGTTGAACTTTTGAAGCTTGAAGAGGTATTATTTTGTATTTTGTTGCTATAGCTGCCAATATAGTTGCCCAAGCTTTGTTACCAACACCATGTTTAAGCTTGTAATATTGTGTAGATTGGTTGAACCAAAATTGATAGAGATAGACAACAAAATTGTGAATAACAGTCAAATGCAAATATAAATAGTGATTTTTTTTCAAGCTGTCGATTTCTGAACCTTATTACAAACAAGGGTAATACTCCAAGACTCATTTCAAAAGTTCAAATATAAAATTCCTTTTCTTAAAAATATTATATCATAATAAAAACACAGTCATTTGCTTTATTATGTTTAAAGATTAAAGTAGATAAGAAAGTATTTGAGACTAATTGACTGATGGGTAATATTGTTTTTCTAAAATCACTATACTGATAGGAGTATTATATCCTTTTTTTTTTATCTTTTCTAAAGAAACAACTAAATAAACTTTAATTCCGTAAAAATAATAATGAATTTTGAATATTTATTTAATGTCTGAAGTTACTGTGAAGTAACTTGGTCAATCAGAAAAGTATATATATCGATCAAGTAATATACAAAAAGTAGTCTACGTATTGATCCCACGAGGATTGTATTTCTAACAAACGAAATTCTAGTTTAATGAACTGCTAAGTTTAGTTTGAAGTAATCAAATGCAAAAAATGAATCTAACATTCCTGAAAGTGTAGTACACAGAAATTGCAAGAAAAAATGTTAAATTTTTTTCATATATTTAAGGTTTATACTCCTGTGACGTTAGTCATGTCTTGAAGTTTTTTCTATGACACACTATTGTTGATAACCAAAAATTGAAGTTTTCTTCTCACGTCTATGTCTAGGTTAGAAGAAGAATAAAAAACCTATAAAGTTTAGCTTAACCTATGACATTTTTCAGGATTCTTCAGATCATCTATCTAGGCTGCAAAATCCTAACTAGAATATGCCTCTTCTATTAGGTTTTTGTGGTTAACCTACTAATTTCACTATGCAACATGCAGAGAACATAGTTCACGATAAATTTTAACTTCTCACCGCGCACGATAAAAAGTAAATTATGACAAAAAAGTTGACACATCAATATTAGAAATTCATGCATAGAAATAGGTGTGCAAGGAATCAAATATTCATAGAATGAAAACCACAAGAAAGTCATATATACATCACATGAGTACGGAACAAAATCACTTACAATGCATGAGAAAAGAACAAGCAAAAATCTTTATAACATGCATAGTAGTAAAGATTGCAGAGCAAGAGGTCCAAAGCACTCACCTAATCAATTCTTAGTAATACGCCACACTCATCTCATTCAATACAAGCTCTTACAAATCTTCTCTCATATAATGGCACTCACCTCCCCTTACAACATCATCAACCCTTCAAAACAAACATGAAAAGAGGAAGGAAAAAAAAAAAAAAAAACTCTTTCGAGCGAACCCGAGGTAAAAACCTCTAGAGCTCCAAATACTTCCCTAAACTCTAGAGGCTACCCAAGGCCAAAAGTTGTTCTCTCATGACAAAAATTAGTTTATATGCTTAAGTATTGCATTACATGTCCGAAATAGACAAAAACTCTCTGAATCGGTCAAATTGTGAAATCTGTGTGTTTAGGCGTGTTGGCAGGCATGGGTACAGGCAAATGCACGCGTGGGTGTGCAAGCGCTCACGTAGGCGCTTACATTAGGGACACGTGTGCATGGATGTAGAATGTGGTTTCGTGCACATGCCCGCACACGAGGGGTGTGGAGTGCGGTAGCAGGGTTGTATGTGCGGGTGTGTAGAAAAGAGGTGTGCAGATGCATTCACATATGTCGACGCAGGGGCAGTTGCGGGCAAGTGCAGATGGTTGCGGTTGGAGAAACACAAGGGCGCACACATGTGCCGAAGATGGTGCACGCACATATGCAGACGCAAACACATGCGCGCAAATGTAGGCTCGTTGATCCTAAATCCTGATTTTTCTCCTCTTTTTTGCTCCTCACTTTGCCTCTTTTTCTTCTCCAAGTGGTATAAATTCTGTATGCTGCACATCACAATAAAAATATCTTTTTCAAGCGTAATATCATGACAAATAAGGAAGATAATATGGTGTTTAATGTAATAAAATAATGTAAATTTCTCTTGTATCAACTCCCCCAAACTTATTATTTGTTCTCAATTAATCCCATATCTCAACAAGAATTAAGAAGTCGTTTGGAGTTTTAATGCGGCTTATTAATTCTTTAACTAGATTATATAAGTTATATTAAGGAGATGTAAATCTCATTTTAGGGTAGGATTTTCTTTAATTGCTAATAACTTAGTTTTTTCTTTATTTCTCTTGTTCCTAAACCTAAACAAATCTCAAAATCCTTAAATTAGAGTAATTGAATAGACATGTTTTCATTCCCCAAAAATATTCTTAAATCGATTAAGATTCAACTAATCCAACATCCCTTAACATTTTTTCTGAATATAATATCTTAATTATTTCATTAAAAAAAATTTTGAGTCTTATTACTTATGGGATAATTAAGACACCATTTTTTTTTATGCACAACTCAAGCTTCTTCTCGAGGCGCTTGGTCATTTGTTTTAATTTTTCTTTTAAATCAGATCTTTTACCATTCTTTACTTTTTATTTCCTTTTTCTTTTTTTAATTCCACCAAGATTTATTGTATGTGGTATAACATATTTTTCTTAAGAATTTTGAATGTCTGATTATTCTTAAATAATAATTCTAAAATTCTTCTTAATGTGAACTCCAAAATATTATAATCTATTCAAAAGCAAGACTCAATTAAAAAATTCAAGAGTTAAAGTACCTCTGGTTAACTACTAATAATTTAATTACATATTTTTTATTATTTTGAAACAACTTCAGAATCAGGGAAAGTTATTAAAGTGTAAGACTTAATTATTATGTCAGTAACTCTAATCCTCCCTTTAATAAGTGTTCACAATGATAATATGTAACTCTAATCCTCCCTTTAATAAGTGTTCACAATTCAACTGGGGTTATGATATGATCTCATTAAAATATCAGGATTCCACACGAGTCCCTCACATAAAACCAATTCAATCATGAGAATTATCTTAAGACATGCACAACTCCCTCCCCCAAACTTGTTTTCTATTATATGCATGCCACAGGGAAAATTATTAGAAAAGACAAAAGCATAACATGTAATAACAGAGAATTGATGTCAGACAATTCAACATAATAAAATGTCATCACATGGAGATCACTAATGTGAACCAATAAACTTGGATAAGAATCAACTCATGTGACTTTTGCATAAGTAAAGCAAAATGATAATACTCAAAACAAATCTAAATGAAAACTCAAAAGTAAATTTCAAAATAAATGCAAAAAAGTAACATGTTCAGAACATCAGGTAACGTTTGGGTTGTCTTCCAAGATAGTGCTTTATTTAATGCTCTCAGCTTGACGTAACTATCTTCCTTCATGAACAAAATTTTATTATTGTAATCTCTGATCAATTACCCAATTTTTTGTTAGTTCTGAAGTTTTTATTAAACCCTCAAATTTCATTCTTTCTTAGAACTTTTACCCCTCAATTCGATAATAGTTTTCTAGAGGGTATGTAGAGAGTTTATTCAGACTATCATTCATAAGAGTATTTTTTTTTTAATTCATGATTCTTCAAGTTAATTCACATATTTGTATATTTGTATTTTTCTCACAATTTGCAAGTGGTTTCGTAGGAGTTAAATTAGGGTTTCCTAAATCTTCGGATGGATTCTCCCTAGGTCTTTTAGGTTCAGGATCTAACTCTATTGAGTAACTATCCTGTCTAGGACTATCTTCCAACTCCTTTCCTGTGGGCACTTCTATAGGTGGTCTTATAGGCTCAACTCTCTTCCTAACAACGCTAGAGGCTATCTTGAAAAGAAGAGCAGATTCTTGCGCAATCATTGTCCAACAACGTCATCCAACTCAATTTGTTCTTCAAGGTTCAACTCTTCAGATTCACAATCTTGGCTATCTACTATCCTTAACATCTTTTTGGGGTTTATTGCTTAATAGATTAGCTAACTGTCCAATTTAATTTTCTAAGTTTCTAAGGGTTGTAGCTTGGCTTTGTTTGTAACTCATTCCCCATATTTACACCAATTCTTCCAAATACTTATTTTCTTCATGATAAACACTCTCTTGGTTATTCCAATATTTTGCATGATTGGCATGGGTGCTCCACCACTATTGGTTTTCTATAGTTGGGTTCTTATTATTTCAGGGGAAGTTTGGGTTGACCAGTTTAGGTTGTAGGTGTTAGAATATGGGTCATCAAACGCAGTTCCTATTGCAAGGTATTCAAACTCATGAAAATGCTAGCCAACAATGTGTTGATATACTCCTGAAAAAGTATAAACTAGTTTTTCAGAGGAGTTTTTGTTAGGTGTTCAAAATTCATGTGAAAGCTAGTCATCAATGGGTTGACATACTCCTAAAAATGTACAAACTGGTTTTTTTTAGAGGTTGTTATTGGATGTTTAAAATTCATGTGAAAGCTAGCCATCAATTGGTTGACATACTTCTGAAAAGATATAAACTGAATTTCCCAAAGATTTATTATGATGAAGTGTTCAAATATTTTTTTATCTTGATTTTTTTCTTTCTTTTTTCAAATAAAAAAAATTTAAAAATACATACACAAAAACAATATAAAGCAGAAACAAAATAAAAATAAACATAAAAAAATTTTAAACTTAAACTATGAGTATTTTAACTAAAATTCTTCTAAGGTTATAAACTTTTTACGACTATTCTCGATAACGGTGCCAAAAATTTAATGTCCAAAATTGTTGCGAAGTAATTCGATGAATCACACAAGCATGCATGTTGATCAAGTAATATACAAAAATGAGTTCGCGTATTGATACCACGGAGATATTGTCAAAATATCTCTAACATACGAATTTTTAGTTTACTGAACCACTAAATCTAGTTTGAAGTGATCAAATCCAATAAATAAATCTAACAGTTCTAAAAGTGTAGTAAACATAAATAACAGAAAAAGTTATGTGTTTTTTTAGATATGTAAGGTTCATGTTCTTGTGACGCTGGTTAGGTGATTTCTTGAAGTATTCATATGGCACCAATGCTAATGTTGGCAACCAAGGATAAAAAATTTCTCCTTAA